TTTAGGGCATTGGTTTTGGGGTTTAGGGTTCAGGGTTTCGGATTTTGGGTTCGGGTTTAGGGTTCAGGGTTTCTTGTTTTAGGGCATTGGTTTTGGGGTTTAGGATTCAGGGTTTCAGATTTGGGGTTTCGGGGTCTGGGGCAATCAGGACCACTTCCGCAGCTGCTTCGAATACCCCCCTCTTTTTGCAGCGGCAAGAAAGGAAGAGCACGAACCTCAGACCAAGAGTCACGTGGCCAGCTTTGGCAGCAGATATGACGCTGTCCACCTGCTCCTGCGATGCGCTGGCGAAGTCGAGCAACACCAACCTCATGTCTGCCACAGCACCATACACAGGTGGAAATAGGATGTCGATGCTGGGACTAGTTCTAAATTTCAGGGCATTTGGAACCTTTTCAGCTCGTGCACCTCCTATAAACTCTGAAACTCAATGCCATCACTTGCGCCGGGTTTGGCTGCAACAGAAAGAACCAAAGCACCACCCACCCTCATCATCCATTGACACTGCTACTGAGATCAAGCTGCTGCAGGTCCATCGGCGAGTCCAAGGTATCGTCATCTTCCAGGATCCCGAGGCTCTTTGACACCAATCTCTGCCTGAATCTGGGGAGCCCGCAGAGGCCCTGCAGGTGCCTCTTCAGGTCCCGGACCTCCCGGAAATCCTCCAACTTCACCGCTGCCAGCTCCTCCCCCGAGGCCTTCCAGATGTGCAGCATCTCGGAGCTCATGGCTGAGCCGAAAGTTTGAGCCGAAAGTGGGGCTGCTTTTTGGGGGACTTCCCGGAAGAGAGAGGTATAAATGCAAGGGCACGGGGCAAGATGGCGGGGAGCCCAGGGGCGCCTTGTCGTCGGGCCAGTCCGGGTCGATCACACCATCGTTTGGGATTTGCTTGTAGTGGTACGGGAACTGCTCCTCGGCCCCAGATGCACAGCTTACCAAGGTACTACGAGGGCTCTGATTTCAGGGCCTGCCACAAAGGTTCCTACAGGGGTTGCTGTAATGCTAGGGTTGGGTTCAGTACGGCTGCAGAACTGTGTCTCGTCGCGGAGCCTACACGAGTCGCATCCTGACCCCAGATTTAGTGAGAGCCTTGAATTTGTCAAGACGTTCGGAGCCTGTGGCATTAGTGGTGTCAGCAATTGCAGCATCCAGAATTGACAATAAAATCGCTGCCGAAAGATCAAGAAGCCTGAACATCTCAGCAACTGGAGCCTCGCACAACCAGCGAAAGCAGTAGGGACAAGATGCATGACAAGAGTGGCGCATAGAACTTTTCGCTGCAAGATCTTCGCAGTGACTAGAATGGATCAACTAATGGTAGCCATTTCGACATGAGGCTTAAAGAACATGCCATGACCAATAGCGATCGTCATACGAATCATCATACAAATAAAGTCAATGATCATGAACACACTGGTAGTGATATCGACAATGGCAGCAATATCGGTAAGCAACATGATCAGAGCCTTTTGATACTCGGAAGGAGCAGGGAAACCGGGGTGAGAAAGAACTACTGCAACAATAACAGCCACCACTAATTTCCACTAAATACCACTGTCGTGGCGACAGCCGCGGGAAAGTCGTAAGTCGTAGCACAACGGCTACCTATGAATCATAGATCGAGGAAGCGCTGAATGCGGACCGGGCGCCACGTCCCAACTCTCGCCTTCCTTCAGCTGCCCTCGCAGCAAGGGATGGAGCTTCGGGGCTTTAGGGTTTTGGTGCCATCTCGCCAAGGTGTAGCGGTAATGATAGTCGCAGCATCAGTAGTAGTATTCATAGTAGTCGTCGTCGTGGTGGTAGTAGTAGTAGTAGTTGTAGTAGTAGTAGTAATAATAGTAGTAGTGTAGTAGTGTTGTAGTAGTAGTAGTAGTAGTAGTAGTCGTAGTAGTAGAGGTAGTAGTAGAGGTGGTAGTAGTAGTAGTAGTAGTAGTAGTAGTAGTGGTAGTAGTAGTAGGAGTAGTAGGAGTAGTAGTAGTAGTAGTAGTAGTAGTAATAGTAGTAGAGGTAGTAGTAGAGGTAGTAGTAGAGGTAGTAGTAGTAGTAGTAGTAGTAGTAGTAGTAGAAGTAGTAGTAGAGGTAGTAGTAG